GTGAAAGCCAGCAAAGCCATACTCCTGCAAACCTTAATATGCTAATATTGGTTTGGAAGATCCTTTCCTAATTAAGACTTATGCTGCTCAGCTGCTAAATAGGGCATTATCTCTCTTTTAGTAATCCTAATCACATAAAAGTGATCAAAATTTCCTCATGACTTGGTGGTCTCTACATACAGAGACAGCTGAAAAGAAGTTCTTTGGCACTGAAAGAATAATTTCTCATTCTTTGTGACAATTCAGTGTATGTACTTGCGATTTTGCAGTAAAATGCCTACTCACTTTTCATTTTCTTTCCTTTTTTTTTTTTTATTTGTTTATTTTTTCTTGAAAGGAGTGTTTACCCCTGTATCTAGAATCATATTTCACCACGGTCAAATAATGTTCTAATTCTCTGTTAAAGAATAATTTGCATAAAGAAGTACCTGAAACCAGTTACTTCTTTAAACAGGTATTTGGAGTCCCAAGTCTGAATTGCTCAGCCTGTGTAAAAAATTCTCACATCTGAAGGTGTTGCTGTGCTTCTTAAAATTGTTTTAAACTGTCTCATTTCAGAATGCAAAATTAGTCTGCTTTTATACTAAAGGTTTTGCAAACGTCAACCAAAATTATTTCAGAGCGACAGTATCTTATTTAGACCTACATACAAAGCAGCTTTTTAAATAGTTGATGTTGGTCCAGTGTAAACAGTGTAAGAGTTGTATCCTTATCACTCTAATGTAGACATGAAGCATCTTTTGCTTCTTGCAAACAAACAGATCCAAAGACGACATTATAACCTGGATATAAGCAAGGGGAAGTGAGTGGGGGGAAAAATCAAATGCAAAAATTAATAACTAGCATGCATATTTAATGAATTAAAAGTTGTTCAACTCAAAAAGTCATGAGAATGTCCTAAAGGTCCAACAGTCCCTCCATCTTATTTTGAGGTAACGTTGCTGCAAAGTGTAGTTTAGATCTTATGCTGTGTGTTGTAATGAAAGAGAGAAGCATTACCTTGGGGGGTAGTCTTGACAGAACTATCAGTTTGTATGTTCATTATATGAGTTTATTTTAGCACATTAAAAACTGAGTCCGCTGTCTAATGTCTCAGGGTAAAATCTAACAAAGAAGTGTTATGTCTTTTTAAAAAGTAGTATTTTTGTCATCATGTTATAGAATATACTTAAGCAGGCAGGGATGGGTTCTTGCTGCTCACTGACTTTTTTCAGCCAAAACAGGTTCCAGGGAAACTTCTGGTAATGGCAGTGCTGGACCAGAAATAACTTTGTTTTTAACTGCTCCCTGAGTTAGTCTGAAACTCAAATGCCCTATTAAGAACTTTATTTTGCTTGATATAAGGCTACAAGGCTGGTAGTTTCTTATACAGTATGAGTATGGGTTGCCCTCTAGTGAAGAGAAGGGAAAAGCTTGTTTAAAAGGAGCTGTACTTGAAGAGCCACATATCGGTATGAATTGTAGCAGAAACTAAGATTAAAGCCCATAATAAACCAGTAGTAAGGGTCATGGAACATGGGCAAAGGGAAGTGCACTTAAAGCCAGGTCATTCCTGTCCTCGGAATTTTTAAGAACAATGATTTGGTAATGATTTAATAATTTTAAATTGACTGGTGTAATGTAAAAGGTGTTAAGCTGCTTTACACCTGAAATCTGTGGGCAAGTGATCCAGTTCAGAATCTTGGTGACTCCTTCAGCTGCCCCGGTGCCAATGGGTACATGCCCAAGTACAGCCCAGACCATCAGGAGTACGGGTGTCTGCCTGACTCACCCTCCCTCTTGTAGATTCAGGAGTTATGGTCACATGCATTTTCAGGTCCCCGATCTCCATGTGACTCTGGAATTACTAAACTTACTTACTTTAGGACAAAGCTCAACCTGAGACACCAGCAAGAGCCTTTGGAAACCTGGAGTTTCACGCTACGTCAGCATCTGATCGTGCAGATGCTTCTTTCCCTCTAGTGAAACAGCCTGGCTCTGATGCTTTCAGCCTGTCATCTGCTCCCCTTTTCCAGGTAAGTTGTCCGCTAAGTTTCTCACAGAAATTCTTGATTCTTCCATGCTGAAAGACAACTGTGATGGAGAACAGGGTATGCAGGTGGTCATGGGCAGTGTCTTAGTCAGCAACAGATTTCAGCAATGCATTTACTTAGTTCCCTTTCCCTAACAGTGTAGAAATGGGGACAGCATTGCTTTGTAACACCGAGCTGTCCATGTGCAGCCATGCTGTTATTGTGGGCACGTACACCTGGGACTGGGAGCAGCAGTCACTGGTTTAAGCTTACCATGGGAGCCTTTTCACATGTCAAGAAATAAGAAATTGGAGATGATTTTTTTTTACAACTGGGAAAAAAAATAGTGATTGCTATGTATATGATATGAAACAAAAAAAGAAAACTATGCATCCTGCTTTAAGTCAGATTTATTCAAATTCCTGAAGTCTTTCTTGGGTCTCCTGAAGCAAGGTTTGTGCCTAAATTAGTCTAGTGTTTTGTTAGGTAAATGCAGTAACCTTTCCCCATTAACCCTAGAGAGAAATAAGCTCTCTTGGGACATAGGCACTTGGAGATAGTTTATCTGCTCTACTTCAGCAGTCTGCCTTAAGGAAAGATTAATCCTATTTTTTGCCGCTAACTTGACTTAGGGTTACTTCACAGCAGACTGGGGACATCTGCCTGGATGAATTTGATAGTGGGTGCTCTCCAGTTTATAGTAAATGTGCATGAGGGGTTGTTTCTGGTTGATGGGGTTTTTACATGTTTGGTGTTTGGTTTAAGGTGATAGCTGGCTGAGAATGGTACATTCACACTACATGGTCTGATCAAAGGGAAATGCACACAGTGGCAAGAGAAGCCTCAACTACCACCACACCCTGTCCTCTGCCAAGGGAGGAGTTGGCCCCACAGCTGGGAAATGCAGCAGAAGAGCCAACCCAGATGCCCCAATCTTCACACAAGACATTGGAGCAGGTAACAACAGGGGTACCAGGTTCATTTGAGAGTGACTTATTCATAGAATTCAAACTCCATGAATGGGAGTTGATGCTTTATCATTTTTTTTTTAACCCCTTTTTTTTAAAAATGTTTTGAATGTGGAGATGTAAATGTGCCTTATATCCACTGTGGAAGGCTGGTGCTTGGAAGGATGTTGGTTTTGATCACATGTACAGAATTTAGCTTTCATATAACGGGTTTTGGTGGGGCAGTCGTTGTTGCCTTTTAAATAATTTTTGCTGGGGAAGGAGGAAGGTAGTAATATTAAAATGAAAGCTAAGCAGTAGATGCTAATGTTCTTTTAAATAGGCAATACCAACAGTTTTGGCTCAAATTTATAATGAAGACCTCAGCCATACGGACAAGAGACACACAGGTAAGGCTGTGTTACCTGCAAGGAGAGCTGGTATGTCACCAGTGAGAATTAGACTGTACTGTAAGGCCACACTAGAAAAATGTCAGTGTTTTAAGTGCTTTCAAACATTCTTAAGCAGACTCTAGCAGTTCAGAACAAAGGTAACGACCTCCTTCCCATATTGTACAATAATCATCTATTTGTTTGCTTGACTATAGCATCAAAATACAGGCAAATACTTACAAAAGGACAGGTTTTGTTGCCAGATAGCACTGAGGAAACACCTGAATCGTCTAGAGCAAATATTATGCTTCATTTTTTATTTTTTGAAAGAAAATGGATTTTCTCTAAATTGGCAGGATACCACTTGAGAGACTAAGGTTTAGTTCCTTTCACTTTCTGCATGCAGCCACTTGAGAATTGTTAGCACAAATGAAGTGCTGCTTAACTATTTAATAAGTCTTCCCCTTCTGCTTCCTCTAAAGGTTTTTATTCAGATTAGCTTAAAACAAATGATCATGGCTTGACTAGTTTTGGGGTTTTTTGTGAAAAGGGACGCTTTTAAAGCTGCAGCATTTTTGTTCAGGGTATGCTAAATGTAAGCAGTTAAACTAATTTCTTCTAGGGCTGCCAGGACAATTAAACTTATGAAGTGCTGTCAACCCTGCTGCACCTGCCACAGTGACTTTTTTAAGAGTGGTTATTCAGCCTGTTCTCAGCTGGTGTCTGCAAATCAGTCACTGGCAAATGGAAACTCAGGTCCTATACCAATAAAAACTGAACTGCTGCCCAGAAAATCGACATCTGGGAATTGTCAGCAAAGCTGATTTTTCTTTATTTCCCTCTGTTTATACAACACTGCTGCCTTTAGATATGTGTTCTTAAGCAGGCCAAAACTGAGCAAAGATTGCGAGCATTTGCTGTGATTTGGTTTGTTTGTTTTTTTAGTAAATTCTAAATTATGCCACATGAGATGGCATCTCAGTCAGAATGTGCAGATACAGCACCAAAAAGGGACAGTGCAGGGAATACTTGTGCATGGCACTGCTGGACTGGCTCAGGGCAGAGCCAGGGTTGCTAATTACAGCTGTGCACAGCTGGAGTCAGCACCAGTTCCTTTCACATCACACCAGGGCTGTCTCTGCATCTACCCCAGCTGAGCGTGTGAGAGAAGCAGGTTGTGTTTCATGTATTGTCATGTTTTCTGTTCTGACTACTTCTTGTTTGCCAATCCCCCCATTCTGCCATGCTTAGGCCAGTCTAATGCAGTACAGACCTCAGCAGGACTGACTGACTGACCTTTCTCCTGGAGCAGACTTTAAGCAGAAACTGTTACAATTCTGTTCCAATCTGTATGTGTGCTGATCATTACTTGAACTTACTTTTATGCACAAATATCCTCCGTTCTCTGAAATTTGTGGAAAGGCCAGTTATTTACCTCAGGAGTAAAGCTAAGGTCAGAGCCACAAAAGTTCCAGAAATGGAGATTGTCCATCGTGATCAACAGAACTATTTAGTGGTGTTTTCTTATTAGAAGCCACCACCAGTCAGTGTTCACAGCACCCTAAAAGGAAACAAACTGGGGGAATGACTAAATAAATACGTATTCAAGTGGAAACATAAATGAAAAAAAAAAGTCACATAAAGCCTTATTAATAAATGAAGACAATTTATTACTTCAAGTGTTAATGGTAAAAAAAATTCAGCACAGCTGTTGCATTTAGAAAAGTGAAACTACAATTAAGAAGTACTATGTTCTAGTTCAATAAACAGATGAACCCAATGTTCTTTAAAATAGTTAAGCATTATACAGTACATCTTATGAAGACCCGTAAATTAAAGAACTACTTCTTAAATTTAGAGATTAAAAAAATTCTGCATTCACAGCTTTAGCTTCTTTTTTCTTCCACGACCGTCAGGAGTACCATCCATTTTGCGCTTCTGTGCCTGCAAGGTATGGTTTTTTAATAAGTTATTGTGATGCAAAAGGGTTGTAAGCAAGCAATGTGTTTCAAAACAAAGCAGACGATTTACACCCTGTCAGCTTTCAAATGTGATAAACTGCAAACATAATATGGTTTGCATATCTTTGCTGTTATTTTATACTCCCTCAATTCTGTAAGAGTATGGTTTCATAGAGGTTAAAAGTGTATAGAAGCAAATAAGGATGTTTTAAAGCTTCCTATTTATGAAAAGGTATTTCTAAATACCCATTTAAATGTTCTGTGAACAAGTCTAAGAAACTTAATAATCCACCATTATTAACTTTACTGATTTCTGCACATCTGCCAAGTAATTTGTTCACCTAAGTTGTTTATACAACAGCTTTAGGCAACAATACAATGAACAGCAAATCCATGTAAGAAAATGGGTAAAGCTGGTGTTTCCTTTACAAAATAGTCCTGCATATTAGCAATACTTCGAATTTAGTCAGCAGAGAGTTGTCAAGCATATATGCTGTCTTCCCAAAACTATCTCCAGAAGCCTATTTGTATACAGATTTGTAGATGATTTAACAGATTATATAAGTCAAAAGGCCAGATACACCTCTGGTGTATTTACCAGGGTAAACCTACACAGTGCACCAACACAGTGATCCAAAACATAACCAGTTTAATGGCTCCAAAGCATGTGAGCTACAATTTAGAACCTAAACTTACTTTCCTTGATTTGACATCCACAACTGTACTAGCTAAACACCAGCATGAACTTAAAGCAGCTTTTAACACTGCCTTCTAAATTTGTGTTGTTGCTTTTAAATAACTTTAGGTATCACTTGTCCTAGACAATCAGAAAAGCCCTCTGTCTTCACGTGAGCTTTTCCACAGAAGTGCCTTTTAAATCTTACCGAAGATGGTTTTGGTCCACGTTTCTTCTTTTCTGCCTTTTCCTTTTCTTCCAGTTCCATGTTTTCTCTTTCAATGAGAGTGATTAAAGTATTGCATCTCCTTTGCAACTCCTACATTACAAAACACACACAATCAGTACCTCAGGCAGCCACTCAATGTAAAAATTGTATTAGAATATTAAAAATGCCGGTGAGGAGGTAAGTGTTTTGCTGTATCTTGTTGGAATAACAAAGGAATTAAATGTTTTTGGATACTTACTGGCTGGCTTCAGGAGCGGATTTGATCACAGGTGTTTGCTTTTTAAGACACTTTTGTATTTAACTCAAATTCATGCTGATTTTGGAGAACAGCACCTTAGAACTTTGAATTTCTCCTCCCGTAAGACTTTTTGGTTTATCTGCATTTGCCACCCGCGACAGTTGTTGCCAAGTTAGAAAAAGGTAACATCTTGTTGGCATGCACATACCTCAGTATTTCAGAAGCTATTTGATTAGCCTGGGGTACAACCATTTTGTCATAGGCATTCATGAACAAAAAAGATTAATGTATATATACCATTGCAGTTCTGGACTTGAGAAACCAGTCAAATCTGAATTGCGGCGAGTTTCGGATACATTGTCTTAATTCATCATAGACATTTTCCTTATCAAATCCTAGTTTGTGAAGCATACAGATCAGAAAGCGATCTTCCTCTTCAGTGTAATTCTTCCCTTTATTAGTACCATATGATATTCTTAGTTGGTGGAAAGGGGCTTTATATCTCCCAATCTGAACAAAACAAATAAGACCATATAAAGCTAAGAAATAGGTCAGAATTAGCATGGAAGTCTTTTGTATGAAAGCAACACATGACATGAAGACAGCACTACAGATCATAAAAGATCCAGTTTTCCAAGTCACCACAAGTAAAGGCCTGTAGGTTCTGGACAGTCCATTTATCAAAGGTATCTAAACTGGCAAATTCTGGTTTAGACAACAGACAGCTTTGTGATCTTCCACTTAATGGCAGACTCCAGACCTATCACTACATTTGAACACAGTCAAGATCTGTCAGTATTGAGATGGCAATGATCCTTTCTGACACAAATCCTCGAGAACTGTCAGACTAAAAGTAAAAAGGTACATGAGACTGTAGCACACGGTTCAGCTGCATCCTGGTTAACTGAATCCGACACTTGTTCTTCCCTAGAAGAGAATTAATTCAAACCTGAAGTGGAGAGAAGATTCTGATGAACTGTCTTAATTTACTACAAATCTGTTCACCACCAAACCCTGGTTGGTGAAACACAGACCAGAATGGAAACATCCTCTGTTTGGTAAGTCTTCCCTTTTAACTGCTCTGAACATGTGTGTATATATACATATATACCTCGCATTTTCAGTTACATGGGTCCAAAAGAAATCCTACTTCTTCCAAAAGCATGTAGTCACCAGGAGCTTGTTATACAGCACTACAAACTGTGTCCTATGATACAGATTACTGTTACAAACAACAGGTTAGGTCATATCTAAAGTTGTCATCACATCTGTCTGCCAGGACAGCACTGCTGTGGGATGGAAAAGCTATAGGAAACAAGTGCTGAGGATTATGCACAAGAGGCAAATGTCATGCCCAGCATGTTGTCTTCATGCATCAGTAGCAGTGGCCAGATACGGAGTCCTGTTTTTCTCCTCACTGGCACCAGAAAATAAAGCAAGCAAGAAACAAGCAAACTCACCTTTGTGTCGAGTGCCTTTTTTATGCTGATTCGTCTCTGAATTCTGGCTTCTCCTCTTTCAATCTGAGCCATGATCTTCTCTATGTCTTGGAGCTCGTTGCATCTTTCCCAGAACACAGCTAAGAAAAGAACAATTCATTAGTTTCTTATCATGCATATTAAAAGTTAAGAAGTTTTACCTTAAAAAAAGATGTTAGCTGCTACTTTCTTTTACCAGAGCTCACTGTTGTATAGCAACAGGCCCTTCCCTGATAAGGAACCTCTGCTTCCTGCTATCATGTGTTGCAGTATAACAAATGCTATTTTCAAGGGTTAGATATAGGAGTCCTCAGTTTAAAAGAGGTGTGATACAGGCCAGAAAGGTTTTTGTGAGCCAGTCTCCTTATCAAGAGAAAAAGAGCTGCTTCAAATGGAAACTGATGCAGCAACAGAGTTGTAGAGAGGGAAGAGGGAGGGCAACTGAGTGGCCAAAGACAAGCAAGTGCCTAAAAGACAATTAGGTGTTTAAATAAACAAGGACTCATGTTACAACACCCAATGGTCATTCATAAGGTGTTTACTGTATCCCACTCCTGAGGAGGAGGTAAAGGTTAACTACTAGTTAGCGAATACACGGCAAAGTGGAATCTCTTCAGCGAAGCACTGTTCCTCAGCATTTCCTTTTCAAAAACTATCCTACATCTAACTGGGTACTGCTGTCTTCAGTTCTTGTTAAAAAAAAAAGTGAAGTGGATCAGCAATAGTTTACATGTGCAGTTTAGTACAGCCTTAATTATGCAGGGGCTAGAGATGGTAAAATCCAGACTAGCAGATCTGAAATCCATCAGTACAATTCTACCCTGAAAAATCTTAAAGAGTGGTGAAAGAAATTCCC